CCTGCAGGTGATTAAAGCTTTCGAAGAGGCAACAGGAGTCAAGATACCGTACACTGTAGTTGGAAGGAGAATTGGAGATCTCGGCTCCTTATATGCCGATTCTTCATTAGCTGAGAAAGAGCTAGACTGGAAAGCAAAGAAGTCTTTAGTTGAGATGTGTAAGTCAGTTAGTCTTATCCGTGATAAAGAAGTCTTTAGTTGAGATGTGTAAGTTAGTTACTCTTATTCGTGATAAAGAAGTCTTTAGTTGAGATGTGTAAGACTGAACCAATCGGTTCTTTTTTTTTTTATCTTTTCTGTATTTTTCATACTATTGCAGCATCGTGTAAGTCTGAACATAAACTGTCTAATGACTCACTTGATGTAGTTCTAAAAAAGTCTTATACAATTAAAGAATCATTGAAATGCTTTGATTCCCTGGTACGTTTCTTCATGCATTAAATAATGATTATTTGACTTGCAAGTGCAAGAAAAAGATTTAATCTGGATAGAAGACTTTAATGTAGTCTAATATGTTTCATTTTAAAATATGTAAATCGTGTATTTAACATAATAGTAATTGTAAGTCAGAACGTAATTTGTTACTCAAGACATTTCCTCATCTGTCTGTTCCTCTACTTGACTCGGAATCAATGTTTTTTCATATAGTTATTAAAAAAAATGATATATATATTACTTTAACTACTTATTTCTTCTTTAACTCCTGCATTAATTGTATGTTAACTTTATTTTGGCCAGGTGCCGATACATGGAGATGGCAATCCCAGAATCCAATGGGTTTCCGAGGTGAAATTGCTGCCATACAGAATAGTTAAAAACATTGTAATGTGCACTTTGGACACGTGATTCCTTCACTATGTGCAATAAGAATTATTTTATTTTATTTTTTTGGTGAGCAGTTTTTGCTCATAGATGATTGTTGCCAAATTTATTAATGATTTTTTTAATAAGTTAAATTTTTTCCTTTGTTGTTATTGAATTATCTGTTATAAGTAGTATAGTCATTTTACTGGATTTTAGTTTAACACACACCTAGTCCATATTTATTGTTTAATTTTATTTTTGTTAATCGTTACCAGTGATAATAATTATGTTGTTGCGGGCCATTGTTTCACTTCCAACTTAAGAAATATTGAACTTGTACACGTGTAATACAAGGCTCACTTGACCTGATTAGCTCAAGTATAGAATAATTTTCTCCCTTTCAATACGAAGCTTTAATGAGTACACTTGACTTTGAAAGATAAAGTTCAAGAAAGGTCGAACCCCATAATGACGACAAAAAAAAAATGGTTCTTATTATAAGATGTAACATGGTAGCTCTGCATGGTTGTAGTAAAATGCTGACTAACAATTCAAGACTTTGTATGAAAGAAAACAAAATTTGGCCATACTCTGTCAAAAAAATCTATATGCTTTAAAAATACAAGCTATACTTGTGTAATATACAGAAGTAAATTTCCTTACAAATTTACTAAATAGTACGCAGACATGGTTTTTAATGTAATATACATATTTAAATATATTTAATTTACTTAAAGGTAGCTGTTGTAAATTATTTTTACGGAGTTTTATTTATTTTGAGATTATTTTTACAGAGATTCCATGTCGACATCTAGAGAGATATTAAGACTAGTTTTTATGATTTATACGTACTACCAGTACAGCTTGTAAACTTAAGCTCAGTTTTGATTTGTTTTTTTAATCTGAAATATATTATATGTGCAAGAAATAAGAAAAGTAACTTGTTAGTTTTTGGCTTTATTTTGGAAGTACTTGTTGTGACTTTATATTTGAGAAACTAGTTCCTGTTTTTGTAAAAGATGCACAGTATGTTTTACAGTTTTTGTTTCACACACACACGTTTAGCTATTTTTAAATCTGTGGTGAATGTTTTCGTCAAGTCCTGATGTAATTTACTATTTATTTATTATAATCTTATTTCATCAATACTCGACAACATTAAGGTTTTGTGAAGGTAAAAAAAGTAGGAGCAGTTTTCTACTACTGTTCTAGTTTCATTATAAATGTATAGATATAATTATGCTAGCTATTTGTGATTTGTATTTTATGGGCTAATACGAAGAACTGTAAACGTTTAATAACTTGACATAACCTTTCATACATTTTATCTAACTGTCACTGTCGAGTTCTAATTAGGCCTAGCAAGTCTGATAAAGAAAAAGGATACTTATAAAATTTAAAGTTAAAATTTGTAAACAAAAGCTCCATAAACACAATGTATACATCTCATTTCTCTATAAAGAATATTTTGATAAAACTAAGATCACAAATCTAGAATTATTTGGTTCTTGAAATACTTGTTTCCTAGTACTGTTTGCCATATTATCTAATGTTAAATTAGATTCATAAATGGGTAGACTAAGTTTTTTTGCTAATTATTTTAATATTTTCATAACTTACACTGTGTCCATATAAATATTCTGTAGTTTAAGAATTAAAAATATTTTTAAAACTATCTTCTGATATTAATGGATAAATACTGATGTTATTTTTCTATTATTTATAACAAACATGTTTCCATGGAAGCAATCTCAGAAGTGGAAAATTGTTACCATACCAACCTTCTTAATGTTTGGTTTTCATTTTTATTATTTAGATGTTGTTAGAAATATTTGTTTTCGCAAGTTTGACAAGAATGGTTTTTAAAATTAATAATATTTAAAAGTAGAATACTATCCAGGAAAACCTTACTCCTCACAGAATAACCTACCCTCACCAACGGTGCATAATACGTCAATAAAGTTTAGAGATAGCTTGAGTTAGTAAATACAAAAAAAAATTTTAAATCTGCCAATTTTTTATTCTTGAAATAGTTTTCTTCGTTACCATCTCTAAACTTACTTGTCTCAAAGTTGTTTCTTCATCATCAAACATAAATAAACTGAATGCTAGCTGTAATTATTGGCTATTTATCAATGTAATAAATATAAATGTATTTCATTTGACTGCATGATTAGGGTATTTACCAGAAAGTTAAGATTTATAATGTGGTTTCAGGAAGATGTGGTTCAGCATGGTCTTCCTTCTGTAAAGATCTATGTTAACAACCACTCTCTTCGATATCTTTTAAAGACTGATGTTCTAGATGATAAGATGGTCAACACGACTTCTTTAAGGTCTTTCTTCTTTAAAAATGTATGTTAACAACCACTATGTTCGATATCTTTTAAAGACTGATGTTCTAGATGATAAGATGGTCAACATGGCTTCTTTAAGGTCTTTCTTCTTTAAAAATGTATGTTAACAACCACTATGTTCGATATCTTTTAAAGACTGATGTTCTAGATGATAAGATGGTCAACATGGCTTCTTTAAGGTCTTTCTTCTTTAAAAATGTATGTTAACAACCACTCTGTTCGATATCTTTTAAAGACTGATGTTCTAGATGATAAGATGATCTTTCATTTTCTTCTGTAAAGATCTATGTTAATAACCATATGTACTCATGCTATAAATACTAAATTCATCGGGCAAATAAACATGACATGTGTAATGTAACCATCTCTAACATAGGTGGTTAAAGTTGAGGAGTTAACTTCTTAGTGCCTTAAAATCAATTTGTTTTTTTATACTGAAATACAAGCTGTTTTATTTTTTAACCCTATGTGACTGTAGTTTGTTTTATTGAACACTAGGAGTGTCTTTTATTGGTAATAGTTTTAAATTCTGCCCTATGAGCTGATGAATTTTATTGGACAAAACCCTTTATTATTTTATCCTTCCAGTGAAAAAAAAAGGGTAAGTTTTTTATGAAGTTGACCGCTTGTCAAGCAGCTTTTTACTTACGCATCTTTATTCTTCTGACTTGCAGTAAAAATAAGTCTTTGAAAACTTCGAGCTATGTTTTACTATCTTTTATTCTAATATAAAATAGATATTTTTACCACAAGAGCCTGCAAACTGTATGTAGATGGTCGGGAATAATGTTACTTTTATGTAAAACCTTTTCTAATAACTTAGGCTTGTTTCTTTCGTCGTGTAGCCTTTTTAGTGCTCCTCTACTGGGATTTCTACAGTTATTATAATGTGTGTCATTGCACTGTTGGGAATTTGAAAAACACTTGACTGGTGTAGAAATAGTTTGATAACACAAAATATACATCTGGTCTCTAAGTCAAAGATCACAGTCTGAAAGCTTGGACTTTTCAATTTTTTTTTGTTGCTGCCATAATGAGCTGTAGATATTTGCATTTTCCCCATCTGTTTTTATTCTAAACTAGTCTTTACAATGTAAGGTTGTAAACAGTGAAACATGTTTTATTATTCTCAGACTTCCGTTACAACTTTTGATCATTGTTACAAAGTGAAAAACCTTGCAGGTGTACATATACAACCTATGTTACCGTCACTTAGTTGCCTGTGGTGTTGAGAACAAATAGGTTCATTTATGTAGAACTTTTAAGGTAGCTACCGTTCACCTGTTGTTATCAAGATGACGTAATTAGTCCCTTGTGGTGGTCTATAGTGTTATTAAACCTACAACAGACATTATTTAATGTTATGTTCAAATACTGATTGTTCTCTAACAATTTATGTTCTAAATTAATGATTTGAACTTACATGGCTGTTTTTTTCCTACAAAAATGTTGTTTTTCTGTGAATTACATAAAAGTAAAAAATAAAGTACAAATTAGAATATTAACTGTAATGGTGGATTTCTTAACTGTGTTTTGTTTTTTTATCACAGCAGAAATAAATTTATTGGTGATTGACGTTTCTTTTAGCCTCTTGATTTATCTGTCTTTTACAGGAGATGGAATTTTTTTTTTTACTACACAGAACACAACATTTGTATTTTGGTCATCTTACTGGGACAAAATGTTAAAAAAAAAACATTTGTATGTTGGTCACCTTACTGGGACAAAATGTTAAAAAAAACAACATTTGTATTTTGGTCACCTTACTGGGACAAAATGTTAAAAAATAAGATTACCCTTTCAAATGTTTCACAGAATTTAGAGAACACCAGAAGATTAATTTTCTATACAGACAACAAAACACAACTGATGCAGTCTTAGCGTTCGACAAATCAGTTTATTAATACAAACTATAGCATTTTAAAAGCTTATATTTCAGAGTTTCTTATAAAGTTTCGGGAACATATGGTTTTTACAAGCACAAGTTTCTTAAAACTGTTGCAACAAAACATTCTGAAAGCCTTTTCTGTCTATTGGATATTTACTTATTGTATGATAATCCTTTTTTCTATAAAATATTTGACCAATTGCGTATGTCTGATTTATTAAAAAAAAAGTTTTTACCAATAAAGATAACCACTTTTATCAAGAATATGTAAAATTTGTGACAGAAACATCCTTTGAACTATATATATATATATATATATATATATAAGTAATAAGACATGTTACTTT